TGTGCTACTTGTACATTATGGATGGCATAATGTACAAGTAGTACAACCCTAATATTTTTCCTAATGATTATTTACAAGGATGACTTACTATTGAAATAATATAAGAATTACCTCTATAGGGCTTCCAATAACCATAACAAGTGAAGAAGACTTCTCATGAAGATATCCTCATGCAATTCATTAACAAGATCAAGACAAATCCGATGAAACGCATACCAAGCATTTACGACAAGGAGTGGAGTGCAATTGCCCGAACTAAAGAACAAGAGTGCGTGGAGAAGGAAAAGTCTATCATAAAGGAGCCACACAAACATGTGATATACAATAAAGTTGAAATTGTTTCGAGTCATCCTTCAACTCCATTGATTGCTCTAAAGTTGATTTTGTGATTAAGGTCAATGAAAAGTTGAAGTTTTCATAGTTGAGCTCGAGCCTTGTGGTCAAGTCAAGAAATATTTTACGAGAAGGACTAAGACAAAATGTAGAGGATAAATAAAAAATTGTTCGAAGTCAACCAATGCAAGTAAAACAATGCTTCCAATGCCTTCAAAGTGCCATGAAATGATTATAGTGTTCAAGCTAATAACTTTGAATAAGCGTTCATTAAAAGGAAACCCAATTTTCTTAAATCTACCCTTTTTGCTTTCAATTTAAGTTAGGACTTATTTTACATTTTTAGGATATTCTCTCGAGCAATTTATAGTCAGTGTCTTTAAAAAATCCCACAAACTTTCATTGGTGCCACTGACCGTTTAGAGCTAGTTATATGTTCTTGTCTATTTTCAAAAATAATGAAGATAATTTAAAAACCAAACAAATGAGGCTAAAAGAGAAAAGGGGCCAAGTGATAAAGGAGACGCATTATCTTATGACAATGGAGTATTACTATCATTTCTTAGGCTTGATTTATGCTTACGCACTGAACTTTACGTCATGCTTTCAAAAGGTCACTGAACTTTCAAAATCACCCAAGTTATCACTGAAATTTGCAAAAAAAATTTCACGAGATTACTTAACTTTAAAAATCACCTCATTCATTACTGAACTTTATAAAATGTTTCCCATGGATCACTAATTCAGTGATCTCCTATGAAACATTTTGCAAAATTTAGTAATCCCGTAGAAACCTTTTACAAAGTTTAGTAATGAATGAGGTAATTTTT